CTTGAGCCCTAACAGATGGCAAGGAAGGTCGAAAGGGCGAGGGAGAAATTAGTGGTCCGAGGAGGTGGGGTTTTGGCCGATAGGAGATAGGGCTGGAGGGTCAAGGGGGAGAGGGAGGCCGTTCCAGGCCGATTTTCCCCCCTTTTTGTATTTGCTGCTTTATGGCTGGTTGTTGTGTTTTGATGTGAGGGGAAGGTTTTATTTTGGTGGAGAAAATAAGAAGAGGGAGGTACAGCCATGTGTAGATATACACGCACGCGCACACGCACGCGCACACGCACACGCACACGCACACGCACACGCACACGCACACGCACACGCACACGCACACGCGCGCACGCACACACACACACACACACCACACACACACACACACACACACACACACACACACACACACACACACACACACACACACCACACACACACACACACACACACACAACACAACACACAATTATACAAACAAACAAACAAAATCTGAACTGACAGACAGATACAGAAAATAAACAGCGAGAGACGAAAAGCAACACAGGGCGCAGGCTGAAGTGGAGTGGTTCCGAAAGCCAAGATAAAGAAAGCAAAGAGTAAGCTCACAGCGCCGAGATACGCACAAGATATTCCCAGTTCTCGGACGCTTGGGAAAGATAGAGATCGGGGGAGGAAAACAAACTGGGAGATAGCAACAAAGATAACAAAAAATGTGGAGATTGCGGGAGAGATTTGAGAACAGAGGCAGCAACCATAACACAAAAAAGGAGAAAGAAAGAAACACACAAACATAAAAAATGATTGGAGATTTAGAGAACGAACCGGAAAGAAAACAACACGCAGCAAACACAAAAGAGAGACAACAACAAAAACAAAAAATATGAGAAAAAGAACCGGTTGGTGTCTTTTCCCCCATGCTTGGACGCACAAGGAAGATAGAGATGGAGGTAAAGAGAAGGGAAGAAGAACATGAACAGACGAAACGAGGAGAGGAGGAATAAAAAGGGGAAAAGGGACAAGGAAAGGGAGATCAAACTGAAGAGTGTGCAGTGGAGAAGAACAAATGACAATTGGAAGAACAAGGGGGTAGAACAAGGCGCAAAAGTAGGAGGAAGAGAAGACAAAGAAGAGAATTGGAGGGAGGAGAAAGGAGAACAAGGAAGGAAGAAAAAATAAGAGGATAGAAAGAATGAGACACTTACAACAACGAACAGACGCGAACAAAATATTTAAAAAGAACAAAGATTAAAAACACGACAGGGGTGAATAAGGCAGAGAGGAAGATCGGAGTGATAATAATAATGATAATAATAATGATAATAAAAGCACGTAGTGGAGGAGGAGGAGGAGGAGGTGGTGGCGGTGGTGGTGGTGAAAGAGGACGAGGAGAGGAAGAGGGGGAGAGGAGGAGGAAGAGGTGGAGAAGGAAGGGGGAAGGGGGGAGGAGGAGGAAGGGAGAAAGGGGGAGGAGGAAGAAGAGGCGGAGGCGGCGGAGGCGGCGGAGTAGGAGGAGGAGGCGCGGCCGTAATGGGCAATGAAGCGGCCGCCCCGCCCGGAGCCGCTCTGCGCGTGATTTATGAGGCCGAGGTAAATCATCCGGTCTCGAGTGTTAAGGTACACGATGAGGCGGTAACTTTTCTGTACCATTGGCCGCTGATGCGTGATGTGTCGTAAGTAAGACCTGTTGTGCAGCTGGGTCGAGAGCCCCGTCTACTGTATACCTCGTCCTTCGCGGGAGGAGGAACAAACACGCAAAAGAAAAATCATTTTTCCTTTTCCAGGACTGTTGCTCTCTAGTTTAAGAACGGCCGGCTTCTCTCCTCGGATTGCTGTTCGTTTTCGTTAAGAGTTCCTTGGCAGAGGCGTGTTTGTGTGTCTACATGTATGTGTATTTATTTGCCTTTAGAGAGGGAGAGAGAGGAGACAGGGAGATTTGTAGTGAAACCCGGAGCGTCGTTCCGTAGAGTTACTGTTCTTGGCCGCGTGCATGGATTTTAGCAGTTGAAAGATATTGATCATTCAGTTGAAAATTGAAGTAGGTAACTTCACTATTAGCTGTGTAGAGCAAGAGAATGTTTATGTATATATCTTTGGACGCGTGTGTTTGTATGTGTGCGTCTGTGTGTCAATTGGCATTGACTGTGACTGCCAAGTTCAGGTCGAGAGTCAGATTGAGCAGAAACGTGGAACTAATATCCAACAGAAGCTGGAGTCGAGGGTTCTCGGGAGGAGCGAGGAACGACCTCCTCGGTACGACCCTCTGGGCTCTTCTGGTACTAAATAACAGAATTTTGGTACCACCTGTCGCCCTGGATGGTCAGGATAATTCTGTTGTGTGAAATGGCCGGCTGCAGGATTCCCCTGAGCCGGGGTTAGTCCTTCGGGGATTACCAGTGATAACAGCTCCTATTGTAGAGCGCAGGATTATTCATGAGTCCTTAAGTAACTGCAATTCAGTGTCTGATTTAAGGAAGCAAGGAGGCGAAGTAAGAAGGCGATGGTGCATTTGTAAAGAAGGAGGGAATGGCCAAGACTTGGGGCATGAGTATGATATACAACTATTGATCATGATGTAGTGATAATTCCGTTGGGAGTAACTCAAAGGGAATGGAGTATAAGACGGCCTTGTCTGTGGTCGCCGCCGCACGCTTCAGACGACGGTGGTATTGAACACCG